ACCCAACGACGTCCTTGTACTTTGTGCAGACAGCAGCCCCCATGCACGTGCTAAGCCTTTTATTTAAAAGTCACCATTTCTGCTTCCTGGGTACAAGCCTTACACCACTCTACACCCATGCTGGGGTTATTAAGTAATTTTTGGTATTTTCTTTTCTTTTCTTTTTTTTTTTTTTAATGTTTATTTCTGAGAGAGAGAGAGAGAGAGAGCCAGCGGGGTAGGGGCAGAGAGAGAGAGAGAGAGAGAGAGAATCTGAAGCAGGCTCGGGGCTCCCAGCTGTCAGCACAGAGCCCGACGTGAGGCTCAAATTCACAAACCACTAGATCACAACCTGAAGTCGCATGTTGAATGACTGAGCCACCCAGGCACTCCAGAATTTGGGGTATTTTCAAAACACGATTGCAATTCTTGCACCGAGATTGAAGTTCTGCATCTCTAGTTCAGAAACCGTGATTAATGAAGGGTGGATGGTACTCTCCTAATTGTCCCCCTTCCCAATGACGATGCTGTGTGTCCTTGAGTCCTGCATTAGCGGGTCTGAAGATTCCCGAGTGCCCAGGAAGCAGACACTGGTTACCATCCTACCTGATAAAAAGTAATAGTAAACTTGAGTGGATTCAGAAGATTCAGAATACTTTGAAAACTGGACCTCCTCGTAATTCAGAAACTAGGGATTGCTCACTGGGAAGATTACTACATAAGGTCTTGTCTTTATTTGGTTATTCCTGCTCCTCTCGGCAAGGACTGTGTTCCGTGTTTTCAAATACTTCAGTCTCAACGACCACGGCCAGCACAGTAGGCAGAGTCTGTTGGTTTGAACTTCCCCTGATACACACAGATCTTAAAATACACTGTGGACCTATTGCAGCCTGAAGAGGGCACACTCTTTACAGGGATCCTGACCAATCGACTTGTCCCTCCTTGCTTTTATTTCTTCCAGGGTGGTGTTGAAAAGCTTTCCTACATACTTATTTCTTTTGTTCAGACTCAAAGGTCAGTCCAACACGATCTCTGTTTCAACCCACCTTTCTCCGGGTTGGTTGTGATGTTTGTTCTCTGGGCTTTCTGACAGCCCGATGCGCCCGTGGATCTCACTTTTTCTTCTCTATTCTCCCTTCTCCCTTCTTCAGTGGGCAACCTAGACCCCTAGAGGGGGGGACAGCCCAGGAACCTTAGAGAGTGGCCAGGGGCCATGTGCTGTCCGGCTCCCCCCTCCCTGCCCTGCACGCCACCATTCAGTTAGCTCCTTGTCCTGGGGGGGCGGGGTGGGGGGGAGGGAGCTCTGAGTATAGGGATGATGAAGGAAGAAAAGGCATGCCTCGGTCACTGACACCCTATGCTGGCTCCTATACGTGGGCTCCTCTGTGGGACTCTCTTCCGGGCACAGAGGCATTTGGACACCCGCCCAGGCTACATGGGCAGATGTGTGTGCTCCTCAGCAGTCATCCACCCTGAGCTTCCGTTGAGGAGACCATCAGAAACATTTTTGAAAACCTACTCGCTTATCTCAGGGCTAGTCTCGTCTGCCAACTCTTTTGCAGATGGCAGTGGCTGCTGCTTTAGCAAAGCCATGAGAGGGAGGCCCCGTGGCCCAGCCCCCATCGTTAGGACAAAGCAGGGACACTGAGGTGGCCCTCCCCTCAGCCTGGTGCCAGCCAGCCCTGTGCAGCTACCCCACTCACCACGGTTGGCTCTGCCGGTAAGTCCCGCCGAGCTGAGAGTCCCTGGGTCCACGGCCGACGCCTTGTCTCTGACTCCCCCGTACCGTCCCGGGCTCAGCCACGGGGCAGATGTTCCGTAAGTGAGGACTGACCTGAGCCAGATTCTCCGGGGCCAGCAGACCTGCGTTCAGCTCCCGTTCGGGCCATCCCAGCACACACCGGAGTGGCACAAACAAGAATCCTGCTGACCCCTGAGCTCCTCCGAGGAGAAGCCACCTTCCCCCTGGCCAGTCAACGGACAGGAGAGCCAGGTGCTATGGGCAGGTCCCCACCGCCAAGCAGCACACATCACAGAGCAGGAGGTGGCTGTTCCCAAAGGTTCTGTTCCCGCAGCACAGGAAGGGCGCTGCCCACATGCAAAGAGGCTTCTGGGCCCCACCAGCTTCCTCTCTCTCCTTTCCCCGGGCAGCAACTCTCCAGCCAGCTTCCAGAAGGCGACTTCAAGGCTCGGCCTTTCACACTGCTGTCTCAACCTTGATGGCCTTCCCCGGGCAAGCCCTTGGGAAGAGCCGGTCTGCCCACGGCCCCAGGCTGCCCCACCCTGCAAGCCCTCCTCTCTTCTCTCTCAACCTGTTGATGCTCTCCCCATTCCTAAGATCCAGGCTCAAAGGCTCATCTTCCACACACCTGTGGTCATGCATTGTGTCCCATCAGCACCTGGCACACAGCACCTTGTGGATGGGGCGTACGTGCGTCTGGCTCATTACCTACTCTGGTGCACGGAGTGCGCGCCCTACACCTTCCTTGACCCAGCGACTGCACCGAGCACGTGCTCCGTGGACATTTAGCAACGGTCCTTCCCTCTGTCCGAGAAGAGGCCTGACCCTAGGAATTTTCTGGAGTGGCCATGGCATCTAGCACCAGAAGGCACTGAATAAAGCGTGGACTTGGATGGTTCTGTTGACGAATTGATTGAGCCCAATTAGAGGCTGGAAATTATTCAGACTTGAGCTTGACTTAGCACAGCGGGGGAGACTTTCACTGTGGTCACTGTCCCTGGTTGTGACAGAAGGCCAAAGAGAGCCGGTCACTGTCTGCAAACCTGCAGAATGGGAAGCCACATGACCCAGAACGTGGTTTCCTAAAGTGTGTCCCCTTGCTCTTGGAGGTGACGCGGCTGCCCCTGCCATAGTGCAGGGGGAGGGTCCAGACCACATCTCTGCACCTGTCAGATCATACATTGTAGAATAAATGGGTGAATGGAAAGGTCAGGGTTAAGTCAAGTTTTTGTGTGAACTGTGTACAATCTAGCAACCCCAAATCCAAGGTGAATGAAGCCCCCAGGCTTATTGGTACTGGTGGAGGAGGTACCTGCAAGAGAGGCGCAGCTCAACCGTGTAAAACAGATTCGAAACTAGGTAAGTGCAAATCTAAACACAGCCCTGCCATCACTCATGGGCGATAGCCCAGCCTGTTCCTAAGAGGAACAAGGGGACCTGATGTCTCCCTGCACTCTTTGCATGCAGTGGGCCGTCTGTGACAGTCCCAGGATGGGGTAGTTGGATGGCTGGAAGCTGGCTGCCTGCAGTGTAGACACCAGGAAGCAAAAAGCAGAGCTGGGTGCTGGCTTGGAAACCCAGGTCTCAGACTTTCCCCTTCTCTGAATGTGTGAATGTCCATAGACATCCTTGGCCCTTTTTTGTCACTTTTCTTTGTTTATGTCCACTGCGTACCTAAGTCAAAGATTTCCCCTGTAACTCTCTTCTTGGAGACCTAATGGCTCCCTGTTTCCTACCTCCTACTTCTTCCTCAGGGGATGGGGATAAACAGGGCAGGATCACATAAGGAAGACCCCAGCCTCAGCATGGCACTGGGGCCATCCCAGGATGGCCAAAGCTTAGCTGAAGATGAACCTCCCAGCCCGGCCTTGGCCAAGCCAGGTTCAGTCCAGGTGTGCCCCTCTCCTTGCCTCTGCCCATAGCTCCTCTGCCCCAAATGCCTTTTCCCTCCTTTCTCTGGCTCCTGAGGTCCCCTAGATCCTGCCAGCGTCCCTCGGGGAAGGCGCTCCAGGACCGCCCACAGGAGCGATCTCCCCACTCTCCAACCTTCTCATGGGGTGTTCTTAGAACCCACGTCGCTTCTTACCTCTTATTGCAATGATCTGTGGGATTTCCTCACTCCCTCACTAGACCATCAGCTCCGTGAAGGCAAGAACGGGTCTTCTGTTTACTGAGCACACCCTAGACCTCCGTGAAAAGTTTCTGGATAAAGAAATGAATGCATCCAATAAGTAAAAGTCTTCGTTGAGGAGAGACCACTGAAAGGTATCCACCGTATACTAGGTGTGCAGTAAGGAATGAATCTCTACACATTAACTAAGAAAGAAGAAGGAAAAGCATTTCAGTTTATCGCAGGAAGAATACTTCCCATGGGTTTGGTCCTAAAGGTGAACTAAGACGAAAATCATTTTTCTTGGATGTCAAGCAAGTGCGCCCACAGATATCCTGGAAAAGCCCAATATAAATACACTAAATAATAAAAAGCAGAGCAAACGATAGTGAAGAGAGCAGTGTGTTCTCTTCTAGGCGCAAATGTGCTCAAGATGACAGAGGGTCCCACAGACCTTTGTTGAGTGAGTGACTGAGTCTCCACAGTGAGTCCTTGCCCCGGCACAGGCATGACACGGGCACACCCAGTCAAGGGGCACGCACCCAGGCGTGGTGGGTGAACAGGTGCCACGAGGGTCACTTCCTCCAAGGCCTAGGATCCAACATTTGCCACTTCCAACATTTGCCTAGGATCATGGTCATTTTGTGATCAGGACCCTGAAGACCCCCAGGTGTCCTGACACGTATCCAAAGAGTTATTCCTC